CTGGAGCCAGCTCGTCAAGCCATCATGGTAAAACCTTGTCAACTCGAGAAGAGGCTGTCTAGATGGGTCGACACGTCGATGGGAAGTAGCAAAAGTGCAAAATGCCCCCCCCCCGTTGCCGAACTGTGCCTTTCGCCGCTATTCCAGCGGAGAAAAGTTTCGCCAGATACGACGCTCTGGTACACCCAACTTCCCTCCTATTCTTCTTACAATTAGACTATTTCCAACACCTCCCACCCTCCCTCCCCTAAATTGTCCCAACTTGCTACCGATTTCTGCAGTGTTTCCTTATAAATTGCAGTGCGGGTACATAGCACACCTGAAATAGGGAAAATCCAGAAAGTCACCCCCATCCCCAACCTCCTCCAGGGACCAAATACGAGCTTCCTTTACTAGGGACCCGAAAATATGTTGTCCCTGGACTGTTGCTGGAGATAAACACCTTTTCGGTTAGAGAGCATAGACGAGCAGACATAGCCGACATCTCAGGCTGCGTTCTCTTCTTTAATTTTGCGTCAGCGTCCACTCCACCAGCGTTCCGAGCGTATGCCAGCGCCAGCGACTAGGAAAGTATAGATATCGACCTAGCGAAGACCAGCGTCTACCAGCGCCCACCAGCGCCTCGAGGGTATAGGTATCGATCTAGCGAACGCCAGCGTCCACCAGCATTGCTAGCGTGAAGCAGCATCCAGGAGTGGAGAACATGAGGAAGTAGGGGGTAGCAAACAGCTGGATCAGGCGTCGGCCACCCTCCTACTTTCCCATACTCTCCACTCCTGGAGGCTACTGTACGCTGGCGTTCGTAGATCGATATCTATGCTGTCCTAGTCGCTAGCGGTAGCATGTTCGAAACGCTGGTGGACGCTGACGCAAAGCATGAACACAGCCTAACTTCGTCAGCACTCATTCCAAGGGCTCTTCAAAACTTTGCTTGATTTTTTCCTGTTAGTATGTCAGTTTAAGTATACTCGTGTTGTTATTCAAAAGGAACAACAATCACACCCACTTTCAGGTCTTCGACACCGGTGGCGTGTTGGGTATTCTGTCGCCAAAAATGATGGGTCGCAGCGGTCGGCGATTCTCACGTGTCATCCACGATCCCATTAGAGATTCGACCCTCTGAACGAATGCCAATCTCATCAAATTCATTAGGTGCTCGAGTAATACAAAATGAACATCAGATCTCTAAAGCCATTTAAATTTTGGAGAAGTCGGAAGAATATAAGAAGAGTAATAGCAAATTTCTATGCGGTGCAATCCACTTCCCTATGAAATCTTCTCGTGAAGGACCCTGCAGTATAAAAGGGTCGAGTTCACGATACCCCCCCCCACCCCAACGCACTCAATCAGATGTTGCCCAAACCTCGGAACACGCCATTTGTTTATGCACCAAAGACGGCGTATTTTTTTCTATCTTCACTTAACGGAACATTCACCCGGTTAATCTCAACACAATTGTTAGGGAAAGTCGCAATCACACCATCATTGTTTGATTTTATCGATTTTATTGATTGTATTTATCTATAGTATTTGTTGAATAAAGTTTTCTTTATTTTTTGACAAATTATATACAGATCATACAAGATGAGGTCAATCCGAATCAGATCCGCTTCCGTAAGCGCAGAGACCAAGCAGACCGTTTGTTGGTTTCACATCCGACGTGGATGGTGTTGGAGGAGGGGCAGGAGGAGGAGGCTCGTGAGATTCATCTGCCGGTTCCTCCTTTATTTCCAGCTGAAAAATGCATCACTTAGTACTGAACAAAAAAAGTCAACTAGTCAATAAAAGGTAAGCTTTTCTTAATACCCTCGCCAGTACGATCCGACGAAAAAGAATGCAGCGATAGTGAGCTCTAATAAGCTTACAAAAAGCCAGTTATCGGAAAGGGGAAGATTGTTGGGAGGGGGCGGGTGAAGGGACGCAGCTGCGCGACCACACTTCAAGTTTGCTTGTCTGTGTCCTCTCACCAAGCAGAAAAGCCGCGTGTATACCTATTCTATGGCTTCGAAAAGAAGTGCTAAGATAATACATGCCGTAGCACAGCCGCACCGTCACGTGACATTGTACCGAACTGCCTCCCCCTCTCCACCGAAATACACATAGAAACAAGGGAAGCACCGCCCATCTCAA